CACCCCCAGGAATGCTCATTTTGTTTCCTGAGATTAAGAATCTCTTATGGTTTGTCTCCCTCCCAGGTCCCATCTTGTTTCACTTTTTCCTCTCTTCCCCTATGATCCTCTATCTTCTTTCTCAAATTCTGCATATCAGTGAGCTCATATGATAATTATCTTTCTCTTATTTTGCTCAGCATAATACCCTCTAGTCCATCCACGTCATCGCAAATGTCAAGATTTCATTTCTTTTGATGGCTGCATAATACTCCATTGTTGATATACACCACATCTTCTTTATCCATTCACCTGTTGTTGGACATCTAAGTTCTTTGCATAGTTTGGCTATTGTGGACATTGCTGCTATAAACATTCGGGTGCATGTGCCCCTTCGGATCACTTCATTGCTGGGTCATATGGTGGCTCTATTTTCAACTTTTTGAGGAAACTCCACACTGTTTTCCAGAGTGGCCGCACCAGCTTGCATTCCCACCAACAGTGTAAGAGGTTCCCCTTTCTCCACATCCGCCAACACCTGTTGTGTCCTGACTTGTTAATTTTAGCCATTCTCACTGTGGTTTTGATTTCTATTTCCCTGATGCCCAGTGATGTGGAGCACTTTTTCATGTGTCTGTTGGCCATTTGGATATCTTTTTTGGAAAAATGTCTGTTCATGTTCTCTGTCCATTTCTTGACTGGTAGAATTAGTATAGTTTGACAAAATTCTTTTCAGCCCTTTTTCAGATTAGCATTTATATGAAATCTTAATCACCCACGTTTTGATGTAAGTCATTAAAATCAGCACATACTCCCTGAACAGTGCTGGGGTCTAGCAATCTCCCAGGTCCATCTACGTCAAGAAGCTAATACTCTAGTGGTAAAAGAAATTGTGTTTCTTAATATTCTGGCTTTTTTTTTTTTTAAGGATTTTATATATTTTCTTGAGAACAAGAGCGCATAAGCGGGGGGAAGTGGCAGAGGGAGAGGGGGAAGTAGACACCCCGCTGAGCAGGAGCCTGATGTGGGACTTGATTCCAGGACCTGGAGATCATGACTTGAATCAAAGGCAGATGCTTAACCAACTGGACCTCCCAGGCGTCCAGGTGCCTGGACTTCCTCTTTGCATAGTGGTGTTACCAGTACTACCAGCCTCGTGAATCAGCCAGACGTTTCCCAGGAGAATTGAAGTCCTCACACCAGAACTCATTCTGCTTTTACCAGCCAGTGAAATTCTTTGCCTCTGCCCCATGCACCCAGTGCTCCAGTGGAAGCAATGTCTCCATTCTGTGCCTTCCCACCCTCTGATGGATGACTCCCGACTCTTCAGGGATCCCTTAGAACACTCTCAGCTAATCTGTTTCTGTTTACGTTGAACTTGGGTTTCCTTGTCTTGAAGAAAAGAAAGAGTCCTTTGCATCTGGTTGTGGTTTTCCTTTCCTCCGTGTGCTCGGCCACACCTGTCTGCTTCCTTATCTCATCACCCTGCCGAGGCTGCTCCTGCCGCTGCCTCCAGGACTCCCCTTATTGCCAGTCGCAGTGGCTCTATCATCCTGACCCGTAATTTCATTTTGGGGTAAAGTCAGTAAGGCTACAAGGACTTTGAAAGAAAGCTGGGTGTTCTTAGGGCAAGAAAGAAAGAAGGCTTTCTTTTCATTAATTCATTGACAGATACTTATCAAACACTCTTCTAATCAATGAAGACATAGTAATTAATAAAATGAGTGAAAGTGCCTATTTTTTCTGGAGGTTTTGTTAGTTGGAGTTTGTTGATCGGAGGAAATAGGCAAACAAAGTTAAATAGGTTAAATAGATAATGATAAAGGATCATCAGGAAAAACAATAGAAGGGGAGTGTATGTTTCAGTAGGGTAGATTTTAGGTTACTTGGAGAGGGAAGGCCTCTCTGAGAATACGACATGGAGCAAGGCCCAGAGGAGATGAGCAAAGGTACCGAGAGCTATCTAGGGGAAAAGCAGACCTTGCAAACCATTCATGTGGTGTTAGCAAAAATGCTTCCTTGAGGTATGAAATGTTGTGTGTGTGTTTTTTTTTTTTTAAGATTTTATTTATTTGACGGAGAGAGATCACAAGTAAGCAGAGAGGCAGGCAGAGAGAGAGGAGGAAGCAGGTTCCCCGATGAGCAGAGAGCCCAATGCAGGGCTCGATCCGAGGACCCTGGGATCATGACCTGAGCTGAAGGCAGAGGCTTTAGCCCACTGAGCCACCCAGGCGCCCCGAGGTATGAAATGTTTTTACGAAGATTTTTGTTCTTATGGTAAAAAGGAAAGCTGGATATTTTGGGGCATTCTGTTTCAAATTGACTTACTAGGATAAAACAGTATTTTTCATGATTTAATCTTATAGAATAAGACAAATTCTAAGTTAATTTTATTTCACATTTTCTTTGGCATCTAAGTGATTGCATGCTTTTATAGTTGGACAGTTTAGATAATGACATCTTTATTCCCTAAAGAGCTGTAGGTGTTTTTAAGTAACTGTGTCATTAGCTGAAGTGACATAGACAGCTCTGTGGGGCTGTCAGCCGACTTACTGGGGCTTAACGGCTGTTTCAGGAGGAGAAATTTTAGCATTTGTATGCTTATGGAACATTTCAGTAAAATAACTGAGCTTCTGAGGCAGTAAGACTGTGTGTTCTCAGTATTCACAGCCCGATTTATTTCAGGGAGAAAGAAGTTCTAAGCACAAACGTACAGATTCGTGTCCATGTTCAAGAAGCCGTCAGAGTGGGGTCTTGCTCAACCCTCAGGTGGAGCCCTGTTTAGTTACGAACGGATTAATATGATCTGTGGAACTGACTCATTTTCAGAGAGGCCCAGCTGTTGAGCATTGAGAAAACCGTCGGCAGTCAGCATCTTGAACTCGCTGAGGTCTGTCTCCCTCCTCTCCTGTACCCCTCAGGCCGGGGCGATTTTAGGAAGTACTAGACACACAAAGTAGGCAGGGGCACATGCTTGGAAATTTAAGAGCCAATAGTAATCACTTGTCCATGTCCTTTCCTAGTTTCTTGACATCAAGCAGGCAGTGAGAAGCGTTTCTCTCCATTTTGTTCTTGTGGGCTGTGGGCTTCTTTCCAGTAGGGTTGTGTTAACCCTGTGCGCGTGTCTCTTGGGATCAAGCAGCCTATCTAGGAACCATTCTGTGGTTTTGTTTGTTTAGTGGCTCATAGGGAGGGTTGAAAGGCAAGAGGAATGGGCTCTTACTGGGTTGGATGAGGACCCGGTCTTCTGGAATGGGGTGCTTCCATGGCAGGACAGAAATCGGGTTTCATCTGCTTTGTCTGGGCCTGCGTGAACGCTAGTGCCCGTGTTCAGAAGCCGCAGGTAACCGCTGGGAGAGTCTGGGCCCCGCCGGAGACCTGAATACTTGGAGCACCTCTTGTGGGCATGCGGGCATGCGGGAGCCGCACGGGGCAGGTCCCACTGCCGTCCGCAGGTGGACAGGCCTTTCTGTTCTCCTCTCCCTGTTTTCATCCCCTTTCTTCTCCTTGGAACTCGCTGTTTGCTAGTAGATAATACTTGAGTTTCGAGCTAGCCAGAGTGCAGTGATCTTTCTCACCATCTTACTGACCAGTTACCATTCTAGTTCCATTTCAGAAAAGTTAGCGATAGAGTGTCATTTCCTTAAAGGAGAGAGAACTCAGATTTGAAATTCAAACAGCCATGTAGAAAATGATTGCAGAAGAGGGGACTTTTAAAAATAACCCTGATTTTTGGCCACTCCCCTATTCAAAAGTAGTGTTAGTTTGTGATTGCTTAATAATAGGAAAACCTAGCATAGCAAAGCAGAGTTTTGTAATTTTGTCATCTAGAAATAAATATTGAGGGAACATTTTAATGTTTGTCCTTCCCATGTTTTCTGCGCATGCGTGCGTGTGCACGCACACACTCACATACACACAGGCTCACACAGGCTTACATTGTACATGCTGTTTTACAAACTACTTTAAAAAGCAATATTACAAAAATAAATAAATAGCAGTATTACAAATATTTTCTATATGATTAAATATTCTTCTAAAATATTTTCAGTAGCTGTGTTGTGGTCTGTCATACACTATAATATTTAATTGACCAATCCCTTTCATTAGATTTTACCTGGTTTTCAAATCTTTGCTTTTATAAATTATACAGAGAGAACTTTGCATTAGCGTGTGAATACTTTTCTGGCTATCTCTTCAGGATAATTTCTTAAGTAGTTTCATATACTTAGTGTTTTTCGTTTCTGTTTCACTGAAGCAAACTTTGCTGGAAGAAGAAAACTAGTATTTCTGAAAGATGCCATGCCAGCTTCTATGCGGGATGCCTAGGAGTCTTCGAGTTCACAGAGTCTTTGGCCTTTTCAACCAGTTTTATAGATGAACAAATCTCTGTGCAGATGTAATAAGATATTTTGTAGTAAGTTAACAGTGTGCAGTATTTAACGTTCACATGTTTTGTTTAGCAACTAACAAAGACCTTCGCCAGTCGCGAGTTAGTGCAAACTTACAGATGAAGGTTTTAATTCTGTTTTGGCTTTAGAGTATATATTTATAATAAGACTTTTTCATCCTTTTGTGTTTTACCTAAGGAACTTCAGATCTAAAAAGTACATGTTAATTGGCATTCTTAGGTCCCAGAGAAAAAAAGTGGGTGATTCCCTTGTGAATTCTGGGTTTCAGTTATATGACTGCTGTCATGGATGAGTAACTTATAAATCACCTTTTATCTGTAAATTAGAAGTAGATAATAATAGTCCCTAGTGGAAATGGTTTCCCGTCCCTTAAGGTTGCAGGTGTGGCTTCTCAGACCTTGCTCGGATAGGCTCTGGCTAATGAGAGTGGACCACAAGGCGCAGGGGTGAGGGCGGACCAAGCAGCAGCGGGGGTGGGGCTGAGGGCAGGCCATGTGGTGCATGGGGGAGGGAGGCTGATGGAGGAGCCGTGGGCTCTGCTCAGTGGGTGGGGCTGGGGCTCCGAGGACCTGGTGTCTGTTGTCTCATGCGTGGTTTGTTGTGTCTCAGTCACATCGATCAGACGACAACGTGGCAGGACCCCAGGAAGGCCATGCTGTCCCAGATGAGTGTCACGGCACCCACCAGCCCCCCAGTGCAGCAGAGTCTGATGACCTCGGCCTCAGGTGAGTGAAACACCGCCGTCCCAGCACGGCGGCCTGGCGTGCGTCTGGGTCTCTGCAGGAGATGGTCCTTACGTACTCTTTTAAGGAAGCTGGAGCGCGGCTGACCGTTCATTCCATCTGGTTTTCTTTGCGAGCCCTGCCTTTTCACAAAACCTTGCTTCATCCAAGCCTTGTTCAGTCTTTCTTTCATAAAGGGGCTGCCTACTGAAACCCAGCATTTTTAAAGTTTTAGTTCTGAAGTCACTGTCTCAGATTCCTCATTTGGTTAATTTTGACAAGCTGGCGTTTGACTCTACTGCTTTCTTTTGTCTTAAAGTTGGAGATTTCTTCCCTTTGTGGTTTGGATGGGAAGCCAAGCTATGGTGTTCTTAACTACCATTTATTTGTTCATTTATTTATGATTTATTTATTTATTTGAGAAAGAGTGAGCAAGAGAGAGAGAACACGAGTGGGGGGGAGGGGGGAGGGACAAAGGGACAAACAGACTCCCCACTGAGCAGGGAGCCTTACATGGGACTCAATCTCAGGACTCCAGGATCCTGACCTGACCCAAAGGCAGCCATTACACCCACCCAGGCTCCCCTCTTTACTATCTTTTAAGGTGCATATTTATTCTGCCTTGAAAGTAACTGGAGGACAGCAGCGTATAAACCCCAGGCATCTTTCTGAAGTTCAGTATGAGTCATCGAACACATTTCTACCCTTGGCACAGACAGTAGACTTGAGTATGAATCCTTTTTCTTATTTGGCAATGTTTTTATTTATTTATTTTTATTTATTTATTTTTTTAAATTTTACTTATTTATTTGACAGAGAGAGAGAGATCACAAGTAGGCAGAGAGGCAGGCAGAGAGAGGGGGAAGCAGGCTCCCCGCTGAGCAGAGAGCCTGATACGGGGCTCCATCCCAGGACCCTGAGACCATGACCTAAGCCAAAGGCAGAGAGAGGTTTAACCCACTGAGCCACCCAGGCGCCCCGGCAATGTTTTTAAATCTGCTGTTTTTCTCATCTGTGTCATGCGGATTACAATGCCCATTACTAGAGAGTGAGAAATATTAAAGGAAATGAAAGAGTAAGTATGAAGCCTTTATTTACAGTTTCAGTGCAGAACAGGAACTCCGTAAAGGTTTCATTACTTCCCTAGTCCTCCAATACCTTTGTTCTGTGGGCCCCATTCTGCACCTTCGTGTGCAGCAGAAAGAAGGTGCCCCTCGCTCTGGGAAGATGCAGCCCCAGGGACTGGAGCCTTCAGGCCAACTCTGACCCCTTGCCTGCGCCCCACACTTGCCCGCTTTGCTAAGTGTCCCGGTTCTGAGCACAGGTGGCAGCCACAGTCACAGGCAGCCCTGGGGCTTCAGTGGCTTTCTGCTCAGTGTATCTGCCCTCCTTGTCCAGCACACTGACGAGCACAGTGTGTGCAGCTGCCTGTAGATATTCTCAAACAGCGGCCTCTGGCAAGGGGCTACCGGCTTGTGGGGTCTGCACGGCAGGTTGGCAGAAGGGCTGCTTGCCTAGGAGAGCTTGTAGAATTTGTTACGTCCTTCTGCCCCCAGAGATGATGCCCGTGTTTGGAGTGTTTCTGCTGTTCCAGAACTCTCTGTCCTTGCCTTTGGTGGGCTGAACACTTGAATTCTAAAGAGTTAAATGCTGAAAAGAAAGATAACACAAGATTCAGGACTAAAGTTATCTTGTCATGAACTGTCTATGGAACTCTTGAAAAAAGATAACTCCTTAAATCTTCCATTTTAGCTTACATTAATAAGAATATATTTACTTATTTTCAGAATCTGTTTTGTATGTGATATTTAGATCAAAAGTTTCACGGCAAAATATTATGCAAGTATTTGACTAATATTTTTACTTGACATCTAGGGTTTTTTTAATCATCAAATTTCCAAATAAAAGTTGTGAAAGCTTTCTTGTACTTATAGTCCAACAAGATGATTCACATTACTCATTTTGTCACACTCCACCTAAAACTATGCCTTGGAAACTAGTAATAAATAACTCATTAATTTAAGGTTTATTTTGGAAGATTTAGGCATTTTGCATCTAACAAGGTTGATTGTGTTTCTTTTATTTATTTATTTAATTTTTTTTTAAGATTTTATTTATTTGACAGAGATCACAAGTAGGCAGAGAGGCAGGTAGAGAAAGAAATGAAGGGAAGCAGGCTCCCTGCTGAGCAGAGAGCCCGATGCGGCGCTCGATCCCAGGACCCTGAGATCATGACCTGAGCCGAGAGCAGAGGCTTAACCCACTGAGCCACCCAGGTGCCCCTGTGTTTCTTTTAGAATATTAGTTTTTTCTTTGTTTACTTATTAAATTTTCTAATGAAAATAGGGAGAATTTGTATTCAGATTTGTGTTTAAAAATCAAAAGTATGTATCAAATTATTTTTAGTGGGTTTCAGAATATTTGCGTTTATATTTCCAGCTCTTTTGTAAAACATAAAGTGTGTTTTATACACTGCATGTAAATTAGTAGGCATGCTCACTTGTAGTTGTGTTAGTAAACGGAGGTGACATTGGCAGGGACAGTTGGAGCAGAGTGGCCTTAGCAGTGGAAGGTCTAGATAGAAGGTCGGAAGTGCAGAATTGGCCTGAAACGGGACAAGCCCCCCAGAGAGGCGTGGGCCTGCATCATGGTAGGAGGGGCCAGTCCGTATTCAGAGGGAGCCTGTTGGACATGATGCTGAGGTCTGTGTGGTCTCAGTCAGGGAACTCTCACGGTGGCCAGTGAAGTTCTGTGCCGGTTGGTTTGTTGGTGGGTTTTTTTTTTTTTTCTCTTTTTTTTTTTCAATTTTTCTTTCTAAGATTTATTTTATGAGAGAGTGAGTGGGCGCAGAAGCAGGGAGAGAGGGAGAAGCAGACTCCCTGCTGTGCAGGGAACCTGACGCGGGCCTGGATCCCAGGACCCGGGATCGCAACCCAGGCTACAGGCAGACACTTCCCTGATGGAGCCCCTGGGGCCCGAAGTTCTGTGCTATTGTTATCAAAGTTACTTAAGTGACTTTCCCCAAATCGCGCAGCTGTCAGTGGTCGAAGCCAAGACTTGGTGCTTGGTGATGGGCTCCGGAGCCCGTCCTCCTCCTCTGCGTGGGAACCAGTGTTAGGACAGGGCTGGAGAGGAGCCTCCAAGCCCGCAAGGGGACAGGACCTGGGAGTGCACAGGCACCCTGGGGAGCTGCTTCTGAACAAGAGGAGTGTGGGGGTGCTTGGTGAAGGCTGTTCTGTGGGTCATCACAGCACACTGCACCTTGCAGAAGAGGTGTCCTCGCGAAGACAGCGGTCATCGTCTCTGCTGGGCCGCTGGGACAGCACGAGGAGTTAAGAAAGGAAGAGACAGATGTGGCAAAACTAAGAAGTTTTTTTTTAACCCCAAACCAAAAATTGATCCTAAAAAGGAAAGGGAGTCACCAGAGTTTGAGAATGAGAATAGGATGTGAAGTGGCAGCTGTGTGAGAATTCTCGGAAGGTGTGGAGTGCGGGGCATGTGGTCGCTGGTGCACGCTGGCGCGGGGCCGAGGCGGAGAGGCGTGAGGGCGGCAGCCGCGGAGCCCGCACACTCGAGTCCTGTCCCTCGTCTCTTCCAGGTTAGTGCCTGTTCAGGAACAGACAGGACTCGGACACAGTCTTGAAATGCTTTAGAAGGACTGTCATGGGGACTGCAGTCTTGGCTGTTCTTTACAGTCCTGCAAAGTGACAGCTCATGTGTCCCCGCGGGCTAATGTCCACATGTGGCACGCAGTGCAGCACTTTCAGACTTCCCTCTTACGAAAGCCTGCATGGGGTTCTTGGGGAGTACGTCTCGCTGGGTGGGGCAGATGCCCTCGATCATGACAGATGATGCATGTCCGAGGAATGTACCCAGCACCTCTCTGTGGCGGGCAGACGTTCAGAAGCACGCTGGGCGAGGGGTGCCGAGCTCCCTGCCTGCCCGCCCGCGCCGTGCCGTCTCTGTGCCGGCACCAGACACCAGCAAGTCAGAGATGGTTCCCCAGAAAAATGGCAGGTTGAGAGGCGATATGAAATGGGGAAGGGACAGGTAAAAGCAAAAAGTAAAAACCTTGAAAAGCAAAGGAAGGGTGAGGGCGCGGAACACAGTTTCAGAGCTGACGACAGGTTTCAGAGCTGGTAATTCCTGCTTCCTGTGTGGTAGCTCACCAGCTTTGAATTCTGCTTTTCACCTTGGGAGTGAACGGAGACGGGATGGGGAATAAGGGTTCCAGTCAGCTGGACGAGGGTTTGAACCGCAGCTGTGTCACTGCTGTGTGCCTGTGCGACCTTGGACAAGGTCCCACGCAGGCACACGGGAGCTCCCTGTGCTGCGTTTGTTCATGCGGGAAACGGGAGTAGGGGACTAGCAGCGAGGAACTTGGCATAGGGCTGTCCCGGAGACGCGATGCCACAGTTGTGGGACAGGGTCGGAGAGCAGGGCATAGTTACAGATTAACCATAGCACCCAGTGCTCTGTACGTATGGTGGATAGAATAAATAAATATCATCTGGTAAAATGTAAAGTTTACATTTTACTCCATTTATACTAACAGGTAGCCATTTTTCATTTAAAATAATTTTTTTATCACCAAATACGGGCCCTTGGCCCTTTCCCAGTTATGTGTTAACTTCTGGCATTTAGGTTCTTACACATTCTCTGTTTGGTATATATAGGTGGTAGAACGTTAAATATAAATATGGTTTTCTTCTTCATGAGTTAAAATTTTTTTGGTTTCTGAAAGTTCTTGACTGTCCTAAGATGGAAATTTTGTTAACCTGAGTCATAATAAATGGAATGAGATACACTTTAGTGTATCTAAATAATAAATAAAACCAAATAAAACTGTGACAAAGCCCAGAGTCAGAGCAGTGAATGGAATAAGAGAGACGCTGTATTTTCTTAGTTATTCTCAAGCTCCTATCTCAAATATCTTTTTTTAAACCAAAGTTGCTTTCTTTTTGGAATGTACGTAAATTAAGAAAAGATGGCCACAGGGAAAG